TTGGCCAATGGCCAGATAAAGGCCAGTCACGGGCCAGTCTCTGGCCAATGTCTAGCCTCTTGGCCAAGGACCATTGCCAGCCATTGGCTGATGACTGTCCAACCCTGTGGCGTTTGGGGAGCTTTGCATATGGAACGTTTTCCATAATGACGTCGCACGTGACGTCACATGGGACTTCACGAGGGTCACGAGTGGCGTCAGTCGTGCCGTCAGCGCGCGTTGCATTATTGGTAAATTCTCCCGCTAAATTTAGCGGAAAACTTTTCCCGGTAAATTTAGCGGAAACAAATCCCCTCTAAATTTAGCAAAACAACTCCCCCCTAAATTTCGCGGAAAAATTTCCCTCCAAAAGTTAGCTAAAAAATTTCCCCGCTGAATTTAGCCGAAGAAATTCCCCGCTAAATGTAGCAGAAAAATTTCATACCAAAAAAAATTCCTACTAAATTTAGCTGAACGGATTCCCCGATAAATGTAGCTGAAAAATGTCCCTGTTAAATTTAGAGGAAAAAAATTTCCCGCGAAGTTTAGCTGAAAAAATATCCCCGCTAAATTTAGCGAAAAAAATCCCCGCTATAGTGTAACGATAAAAATTCCCCGCTAAATTTAGCGGGAAAAAATTCCCTGCTATATTTAGCGGAATACATTCCCTGCTAAATAAGCGGAATAAATTTTCCGCTAAATTTAGCGCACAAAAGATGCCCGCTAAATTTAGCGGTTAAATTTTTCCCCGGTAAATTAGCGGGGCATTCAGCGCGAAAATTTCCTGCTAAATGGGAGGGGAGGGGGCTAGGAGGGGAGGGTACGGATGAGGAGGAGGGGCATAACCCCCTCTCCGTACCTTCTCCCCCTCCGCCTCGAGAGCTGCTCTCGTATTCGGCGTTACAGGGGATTGTGAACCTCTTTCATTTTTTTTTTTTTACTGTTAACATTTTTTGCCTGCTTGTAACTCTGTAATAAATTGCAGCTTGAGATGTTGAGAAGCCTAGTTTTGCGGGCAGTGCAAAGGGCCTTTAAATAGTATACACGCGGTAGATATACCAAGTAACTGTGCATAAACCGAAACAAAAACAACCACGCAAAAATATAACTTATTTGTAGATACCCGCAACAATGTTCAAATATTTCACCTTGGGCCAGGGTCACATTAAAAAAAGCTACAGTATTGACGCAGATGTAAGTCGATCGGCGATCACTCTTTTTAATCAGAAAAGTATAAGAGGATTGCTGCCGCACGTGAGTGAATTACGATTCTACCGCTTTGACGGCTGCCATACATGTGCGAAAACCCAATGAGTCGCGACTTGTAGTAAAATTATTGGTTTTGTTATTCTACCTGTTCAAAATACCTGCTAACAGATGAGCGGTGGCCCATTCCGCGACCCGCTTCGGCTTTAAAGCGGTAGGTTTAAAAAGCACGTGTCGCAGAAAATTCGGTCTCGGTGGGACTGGAAAATCGGGAACGGTTGCTTAGTAATTCAATCGCCCCAAAGAAAGAAAAAAAAAAGATTGAATAATTTCAGGTGGAACGAGATCGAACCACGACCCGTCGGTTGTGAGCCAGACACAATATACGCTAGGCGTTTTTCTCTTTTTTTTTTAACTTTTTGTGAAAGAAGTTTGTTTTTGGTACATACCAGTCACATGGCCAAGTCATTGGCTGCACACACTACTTAGGCATGCGCACGAATAAAAGAAACCACGAAATGGTTCGAGCATACAACGAGAAAAACATCAAAACACATTGAGACACCCGTATTCTAACATATCTTGTGCCAGGAAGCTTTTCGTTGCGGGCCAGGACGCTTTTTTTAAATCGCTGCTTTATATTGATTCAGACGTTGTGGACATCATATGGTCCTGTGCTAACTGCGCTCAATGTTCACTTCGCTCTCTCCCGAAACAGCTGCCACGCGGTTTTCCGCACACGCACTGCCGTCACATGCGTGTCGGGCCACAGCGTGTGGAGAGCCATCGCAACCCACGACTCAAACTCCGCTCTCAGTTCCTCAGCAAAGTACTAAAACTTGAGAGATTGCCAGTCTGGCTCAATGTTACATTAGAAAATATAGCGAAAATCAGTCCAGAAACAGAAGGCACCGTTACATTCCAGAAATACACGAGGAAGGGTCTCTTGGTCACCACACAAACTGCAGTTGGTTCCGATCGGAAGGTACACGCCCATGTTTTCCAACCAAGTGTTTACTGGCAGGTTTCTGTCTGAAACCTGATAAAGGAGATTTTGGTTTTTGAGGAGACAGGGGGGCTGCGCAATCACATAAGGACATCTTTTCCTCCGGATGATTCGGAACCGTTTCTGTAAAAGAGCTGGACATATGCTGACTGACTGTGTCCCTAGAGTTTTACCTATTTCACTTGCTGGAAATACTGCCACGAGTACCTTGACTCGAAGCATTCCATCGCTTTGGAAATTTCCTTATATATTCGAAGCACTTAGCTGCTTTCGGTTGCTCCGACATGCAAACAACCCACTGCCTATGGTGCGCGTCCCCAAGGCTCTAGAATGGCCACCGCGTAAGTTCATTATTCCTTTAGTTCAGAGTCTCTCAACAAAAAGAACGGACTTATTTTCACTTTAAGGGTAACAGGCCACAATCCAATCCCACTGGCTTGAGGTAAAAAAAGAAAATTGTGTTCCTTGCTTTTTTCCCCTTGGTGACTGCCAAAGAAATGTTGCGAAGAGCCGATGTCCCTTCAACACTGAGCTGGCATCGACTGGGGTACGCTAGGCCGCGTACATCAAACCAATAAAGGCAACAGAGTTACTCACAAAGCTTGGCTAAATAAGAAGAATTCGTCTTGTGCGCCATGGTAGGAGCGACGCTCTCATCGTCTGAAGTTTGACTGACCATGTCTTAGGTCTCGGGTGTGTCAACGGGAGCGGTATGCCAAGGTGCTTTTACAGCAAGGGCGACCACTTCATGCCTAACACGCTTAAAGGCGTGCAGGCCCACTTACCCATCCACGTAATTTTTAAATTTGTCTAGATTAAGAGGAGCTCCGATATGGCACAAAACTCTTGAATTCTGTCCATTGCCCTCAAAAGCTCCTTCTCTTCAGAAAATATACCGGAACTATCATCCGCGAACGCTTGGAGTTTCAGGTGTTTAGTTAGCAGTTGAAGCCCTCTGATTCCTTCGTCCATTTGGATAGCCTTGCACAGTGGCTGCAAGTAGAGCGCAAATAGCAGTGGGTACAACGGGTACCCCTTTCGAACTGACCATTGCTACACAATTTTTTTCGCTCTTTTTTTACTAATATTTTGGTAGATATGTTTTTGTAGCACTAGCATACCCAATCGAAAAGAACATTGCCTACGTTGATGCGTTTTAGGATCTCGAACAAGAATTCATTGTCCATTCGATCGAAAGCACGACATAAATCAATTTGAAGGCCGGCCAGCAGCGTGTTGAGCACGTTGCTGATCTGCCTCCAATGTTGTTCGCGAAAGGTTTTTTTTTCATAGATATACATAAAACACTGCTTAATTAAGTACTTCGAATTTTGTTCTGGATAGCATAAAACGCTTGAGCTCCCAAAACACGGTCCTAGAGGATGCCACATTTGAATAATAGCGACCTGAACATGTGCGTGAAAATCCATACCGCTGTGAAGAACGTTAACAAATTATACTATATTTTTCACATTTTTTTAGAATACATTTGTGGCGACGGTGATAAGGTAAAAATGTAAGACGTCAGAATGCGCATCAAAGCCAGACGCCCATTTCAGACGCAAATGCTAGACGCAAAAGCGTTTCGAAAGGAGGGTGGTGTGGAAAAAATCTTTACATATTAGTTTAAAAAAACTCAAATCTAGAGTAACTTGCTCGATGTAGGTGAATTAAGCGACCAGGGGGACATGTAGTATTCGGGGCTGATCCTCACGAAAAGTTGAGTAATTAACTAAAATATGTCAAATAAATTTCTAATTAGTGAGAAGAAACATATAGTTCCAATGAGAAGCTTGCTCAGGGTCATTAAAAATATCAGGTCATTAAATGTGAGCAAGATTGAGAGCACCCGAGAAACGCGGTTGTGCTCCAAGGTTGCAGTTCGTGTAAAATGCGCACCGCTATCCGCGGCTAAAGGCACGTGTTTTCAGGCCTTCACGGAACAGCTTCGTGCTTTCACCGTTACGCGACCAACAATCCCGTTGCATAGACTTTAATTAGCGCGAGACCGTCACTGGGAAGGCTCGAATGTGGAACGCTAATCGCCGTTTGTTCAGTTGGAGTCGCGAATAGTAGCGCGAAAACGAGGGAATATATAACGACAACGTCGCGCACCTAATTCACACCCGCGGTTTCCACGGACTCCAAATCCTTCTGAAATGTGATGAAGAAATGGTTCTCAATGACGCTCAGCAATTTTATAATTGAAACCATATGTTTCTTTTCACTCATTATTAAGTTCGTTCACAAATTATGTTTAAATTTTTCTTTACATATCGTGATGATTAGTCTGATATATGTGTCTCCCTGGTCGTGCGACTCACGTCCACAAACTGCGTCAGTGTGGTTTTCACTGCTTGCTTTAAGCAAAGCTCTGAATACTAAAAACAATAACGGTTTAAATATGTGATGTGTCCACGAATTTTATTAGCGATAGTGATTGCCGTTTTGGTGGAAGTTGCTGTATTATTTTCTATCGGTTAATTATTCCCCCGAGAGTAACTGACCCCAAAAAATATATTTTCTACGTATGAGGAGTTTAGTTGTTATCAACCTACTGCCGCAGTTTTTTTCCTCCGTCTTAGAAGGAACGCTCGGTAAATTACTATAGTGCTTGTTTCCTCTATTTTGTAGTTATCAGGACTGAAAAATGTGTCGTGGTGAACTTACTAAGCGTTTCTTTTTTTTTTTTTTTTTTCATACATCACTTGAAATGGTGGAAGCGTTTTGTGTTCTGACATTGGCTTCAGCAGTGCATCATCAAATACATATTTTTGCCATTATTTTTCCATTTCCCTTATGCTTCAAGGGACAAGAACACTGCAGGTTACCTTTCAGTTCGCCTGGGAAGTACGAAAAAAACAAATTTTGCCAAACATTGTCGACCAAAGAGAGGAAAAAAACGGGTCATTTGCATGGAAGTGGACTATGTCTGTGTACCCCATCAGCACAACTGTACCCGTTTTATGGTATGTAATCCTGTTAAAAAAAAATAAAAACCTGAATTTGCATTTGTTAAAACTAACCTATTTATTTCACAGAAAGACCTTGCACTATTAAAATTAAAAGAACCGGTCAAGTTTACAAAGTATATTCAGCCAATCTGCCTTCCTGAGCACTGCGAAGAACCACCTTCAAATACCAGTATCTACGTTTTGGGCTGGGGCGCAGTTTATGGTAAATGGTGTTCTCGCCTCTTTTTGTTCTACATGTCAATTATCGTAAACAAATCAGAAAGAAAGACACATATTTATAAAAATATAAAAGTTAAGCTTCTCAATAAGACAGAGTTTCCTGCTGTACGCGACATATTCCTGTCATTGAGAGGCCGCGGATGCGTAAGTGCTAACAAAATGCCAACAAATGCGGACCCTTCCGCATGTTTCCTTAAACTATTTCTTTAAAACGGCGAGCAGGCACCCACTAGTTTTTAAAATATCTAATACAAAGCCGATGCTTTTCGTATGTTAGCCTTTATTTATCGGGGATGTGGATAGACAGAATTAGAAAAACAAGAACTAGCAATAAAACAAAGGTCGTCCTTATTGGCACAGACGCTATATATTTTAGTTCTTATAATGATTTAGGTAATATCGAGTGGATATTTTATATTATGTATATTCCGAACCAATAATATGAAATGGCTCTATACACACACAATATATCAAGAGACACGGCAGGAGACTCGTGCATATCACAATGAAGGCAATGAATGTCATCGACTAACCTGACTCTTAACACAGACTTCGCCGACAAAGTTTTTAAACTAATAATTGACCAAACTTTAGCCTTCTTGTATGTAATTTACGTGCATGATCATATCGTCACTGCGAACATCAGCATCAAGAAAGCTAATATTGATGCGAGTCTGGCTCTCCGAGTACACGGTGTTTATCACAGCACAACTCGCAGTTTCAAAGGTGCTCGCCGAATGTTTGATCCGTAACTGAATTATTTTTTTGCAGCTAGAAAAATCAAATCAATGCAGATTGCCAAAACAACTTAGTTGTTTTGGCAATTAGTGATGCACAATCAAGTGTGACAATGGACCTTTTTTGCGGTAACCCGCGCCGTCTGCGGAGTACTCTTCTAACTCCAAATGAAGGGCAGCCCAAATTGCCTCTGCCCGTCAAATCACATTGGCATCGTGCCGTTGTATTGACTTCGTTGGCGTTCGTGCCCTATACTAGCGTATATTCAAACAACAAAAAAATATGCTAGAAAATCGCTGCTGGACATGTTGGTCGAACGGAACTTTGTCCTGCAAAAATTGCGACAGCTGGAAGCAAGGCCAGGGGAGGGGCTGTAAGCATGCGCAGATTACTTTTAAAAAGGTACAGTGGTATCAATGTTGTGTTTAGAAACCTCGTTCCGTAGATGAAGTTTTCAATGATTTTATTGTATCCGAAGTAGGTGGCAGCCGGACATCCGTAAAATATAAATTGTTTAATGTGGCAGCCCTATAGGCCCAATACCTCTTGATTCCTCGTAACGCGTGACGCTGAAGTGCTCGTGGCTCAGGCGATTGTGGCTGAAGCTTGAGCTCTGGTCGGCTAAGCTCCGGTCATGCTAACTTCTGTCACGTGTTCTCGGAAGCGCCGGTCGCGTAAGCTGACGTGACTTGATGTCCTCGATGTTATCCTAGCGGTTATCCTTGAGGTCGCCCTTGAGGCAGTCATAGAAGTTGTCGTAGACGTCGTTCTCAACGTCGTCCACTAGGACGTCGTCCTAAACGTCCTCTCTTTACGTCGTGCTCAGTGCATGTACGGGATATTAAAACAACGATTTCCTTACCGTATACCTTATTTTCTTAATTGTTTTCACTAATAATGTTCCTGGAAAGCTGCTGCATTTCATTGCGTTTGGTAGAATGAAGAAAAGCTGCATCAACTTCGTAACACAGAAGGATTTTATGGGCTGGATTTCATGAAATTTTTTAACTCCTTCAATCCTTTCAAACAAAATTCACCATGGAGCTAACCTCAAACCATGCGACCTTTAATCCAACGTCTTATTTTCGGCGCCGCAAGTAGGAGATGAAAAAAAGCATCAGCAAGTGAATTTTTATGACTTGCCGCTAACCCTCGTCAACGATAGCGCGGGGTCGTCAGCGGCGAGGGATTCTTAGTTAAGCATACTTGGTTATGCATACTTTGCTTTCAGGCGATATGCGAGGCGAGTTTTAACTGCTCAGACATACAGAGTCCGCATTCAACCGTCGGCACAGTCACGCCTTCTCCAGCATACGTATGCCGCAGTATACAGCCGCTGGTGAATTATACTTCATCCAGCATACTTGGTAGCCAGGCCGTCGCCGGCGAGTCACATTAAGTACAAAATGCTTCGTTCTCAAACGACTTTCGGCTGCAGGTCATACTTAACCCAGCAATCTTATCCCGCAAGCGACCGTTGTACCTAGACCGCGGGTGACAGCCGGGGGTGGGTTATACCTACTACAGAGCACCCCGTTCCCCATCGACCGTCGGCAGCGAACAATACTAAGTCAGTAATACTAATTCCACACATGACTGTCGGCGGAAAGCCATACTTTGTCCAGCATACTTAGTCTACAGGCAACCTTTTGTGGGCATTCAGAACTAGTTTAGCGAACTTAGTGTGTAAGCAGCCGTCGGAGGCGAGTTAACTTGGTCCAGCATGATAGCCCCAGAAGACCGTTCGTGGCGATTCATATCTTGTCCATCATACCTAGTCCGTAACCTGAGGTCGCCGGTATGTTATACGTATAGTCCGGTGCACTGAGTCTGCGGACGATCGTCGGCGGTGACGCATGCGTAATAAACCAAAAGTAGTTCGCAGGCAACCCATGGAGGCGAGTCATGCTTAGTCCAGCATACTGAGATCGTGAGAGTTTGTGGCGCCGTGCTTAGTTCATTATGCTTACCATACTCCGCAGATGTTCGTTGGCAGCCAGTCAGATTCATTCCAACCTAATTATACTTAAATTAGATAGTAGCCGACACTACGCTCTAGTGAAGCCAGTCAAGCAAGATAAGCAGTCCAAAACCACGGCGATCGCTTTCTTTGTGAGTGTGCTATCATAAGCTAAGCTAATCCCGCGGCCAACATTCTGGGGCATTCCGTGAAATGAAACGTTTTCAAGAAAATGTCACAAATCTAATTTCAACTTTCAACTTACAACTTTCTTGTTTCTCTCCAAGAGAGAGAGGGAGAGAGAAAAAAACAGACTGTTGTCACTTGACAGAGTTTCTCATCCCCACCAGCAAGAAGATGAACGATTTTACAGACTCGTGATCTGTACAGCAAAATTTACATAGAAGCAAAACACAACATTAAACCAAAAAAGACCTGAGATGCATTAGAAGCATTTCTTAGTGGTCAAAGGTCAAATGATATTAGGCACAGATAAATGTAGATGTAGGAACTTCAGACCACTAGTGAATCAGGAATCGGACTCTTTAATTACGCGCTCACCAGAGCGTGAGCATGCGGCGCGGTGCTCGCCCTCAAAACGAAATGTAAACCTAAATTTAAAAGAAAATTTTGAGTCACGCTAGCGCGGGCCACTGCAATAGAAAATAAAAAAAAAAAACAAATATCTCTTCTTCTCAACATCATGAAATCCGTGCCAAATTTATGGGTACATATTCATGACATTAGGCAACGAAAACTGCAGCACCTGGAGATTGTAGTCTCCTGTTGAGCGAGACGTTGACCCTCTGTCATAGCAACGGCTTGCATTTGCACGCACCCTCCGCTTGATGCAGCTGATTGTTAAAAAAAAAGTTTACTTTGCTTTACCGATGTTTGATATGTTAGAATAAGATTATAATTGTAATGCTTTGTAATTGGAACTATTTGAAGGTTTATGAAATGTTGTAATGTGGGAGCGTTGAACTCCGCATTGCACATAATTCGGATGATTCATTCTGGAGCAAATGCAGTGATGCATATTTGTAGTTGTTGTGCTACACTAAACAATAAAGCAGTAATTTTAGCAAGAGTAAAACAGAGAGTTTTAAAGAAGGACTAGGACCGATAGGGGTAATATATATATCGCCATTTATAAATAATGGCAACACCCTTGGGAAGTCTGCGATCCGTAGTTCGCACTTTGGCGTCCCTGCTCATGAACTCATTGAATATTACACCGACAAACTACACATTTGTACAAAATAAATATTTCGTGCTTAAAGAGAAAGCCCTTGAGTATATGAACACAATTTATGGATAAAAAAAGTATTTTATTCGTCTTATTTGTATTAATTACTAGACAGTTTGAGATTTTCCAGTAACTTATCTTCTACAGAAAGGTATTTGTCGCACATAAACCCGGGTGGACAAATTCACCCGAAATAAATAAACTGGTGTCGTCTTTGTAAGTTATAAAACCTAGACTGACGTCAATATGTACTGAGTTATTTATGTACAAGTTTAACAGAAGGAGTCCAAAGAAACTTACCCGTGGCACCACTGACGTGAGTTTCCTTATGCAAGATTGCTGACTATCTATCACGACACACTGATGCCGAGACTTAAAAAAATATACCCCCGATCATCATGGAGGCTACTCCTTGCATGCTGCATGCATGTAATTTTAGAAGCAGATTTGAATGGTTTAGGTACTCGAAAGACTTTGAAAATCAATGAATACCCAAAGATAATCAATTTCTTTTCTATTTGTTTAAATTATATATTTTTCTTTTAGTAGCACGATTTCCGTCGAGTTCTCTTTCCTAAAACATATTGGCGAATTGTTAGGACAGAGTTCTGTTCACCAAAGGTGTATCATCTGGGGTGTATATTTTTCTGTAGCAATTTTGAAAACACTTTCAGCACAGGAAGGGGTATGTAATTTAATTGGTTGTTTTTATGCTCAGACTTGAAAATAACCCTAACCCTAATGCTATACACCTTTTTTTTCGTTCTACGATACAAGGCGATTTCTGCAACTGAGAAGATTAATATATTTTGTCAACAAAAGCAGAAATCAATAATTTTGTAGATCTGGCCTTTATAATTCGATGCAAAGAGCCTGTAGAGCCGCGGAATAAAAACTGTACGCGTCCAAAATATTAACTACTGTCTTTTGATATTTTATGACTGCCATCTGAAATATTCTCAGGAAACATTGCGATGGCTGTTGTTGTTCAGTTATTTTCGGACACCCGGAAGTCGTTGATGCCCAATAAATTTGGTGATGCGCAAGATAAAAAGCGCAGGCTAATGGTGCCTTATTGGTACGGGATTGGTTTAGTTTGTGATACCATACCTGTAAAGGCGATTAGCGCTCTGACAATGCACTTTTCGTACTGCTTGATTGGCTCTGTCGGTGGCTGTGGTGGGACTTAAAGTGAAACAGAGTCCACAGGCCACCGTTGGCGGCGAGTGATACTTAGTCCGCCACACTTAGTCTCTGGGTGGCAGTCGGGGCCCGTAGTTGGTTCCTCTATAAAGCCTATACCTACTTATGTGTCATTACGGTACCACGGGTGACAGATGAAAGGTGAGGGCGCAAAGTAGCTGCTGCAAGATCATAATTGTAGAATCACCTGCGACCGCGGTGATGACACAAAACTACAGGAAGATGGAAGGACGTCTCGAACACAGCTCACATTTTATTGCCACAATTATTGTTGGGGGCTGCGCGACAATTTTCAGACTTTCGCAAATTAACTGCGGAAATTATTCTGTGTCACCTATTGAACAAAATGCAGAAAACCGTATTTTCCTGCGAGCGGCACTTTGAAGGTGAAAGTGCCGGTCTACTCTCCAAGTCGACTTTCGAGTGACGTACTCTGGGGGTTCACGTGGTTTCCCCTTGGGTCCTCTCTTCAGAGACCAGCCGCTTCCTCCACGATGGTCGACTTCTAAAAGATTAGCATCGTGGAAGGTCACGGCGAGCGATCGACACAAAGGACGGTATCGCCACGGGGCTGACGGCGAGTGTAGCAGCGGAGAGGGACAGGTTTTGTTAACTTCTGCGTATCCCCCAGAGACGGTAGTCATTTTAGGTCTCGTAACCCCGACAGGCGGCTACAGATAGGAAAAAATTAGTTCCTTGCTTTGGGATTACGCTGCAGAATAGCATTTTTTTGGTGGAAAGGTGACGCGTTTTCGTTCACTTGGGCTTGCATAAACAATATAAAAAATGCCAACTGCCAATTATTGCAACATTCAAATCATTGCACTGCACCTTTAGGTATGGTTTGAACTAGAAAGGACGAAGGGGAAACCGGGGAAACGGGGAAAGATCGCAAATTACATACTCTTTGGGGTAAAACACACCGTACGAACACCAAGTATATCTGTCAGTTTGAGGTCAAAAAGATGGTGAAGCTAGATGCTCGAAACGATACTTCACCAGTGCGAACAAGCACATACAAAAGAGGCTCATGCAGAGCTCTGTATTTTAAAAAAAACACGCATTTACAAAAAACGTAAATTTGGCAAAAAAAAAAGACAATTTAATTACAAAGATTCTCCCCCCCCCCCCCCCTTCCTTCCACACAGAAGTTAGTGGTCAAGAGATATTTTCTACACGGCCTCCAAACATAGGGACCACTTATCTGCTGTGTGTCCATGGTTTTCTTTCAAAATTGACAATTTTAAGTGATGTTTCATGCCAGTTTCATCTGTTAAAATCACAGAGGACGTCAAATTTCACAACGGTACAGAATGGTTATTTTCTTGGGCGTCCTTTTAAACCTCCAAATACGGATCCTTATTGTTAACACACCGTCTATCTTCGGTCAAACGGTCATTGCCGCTGTGCTTGATCTGACTAATATAGCACAAACGATATTCGGATGCGATTTTTTAGACAATCTTTGAAACACGCGCAAAACTTTTTTCTTTGTGTTTTTTTTTTTAGGCAGCAATATTGGGCCGAAGTGAACAGAGTCAATCTTTTTAAGGTATAGTCTAGGCTAAATGCCGTACGGGCCCAAATTCATCAAGATTTGAGGTTACGGGGTACTCAAAGAAAAAACGAGAAGACAGCCTGCTTTTCCTGAACGAAACTTTTTTTAGACTTTTTTTGTTTGAAGAAAACTATGTAGAGAATCTGGTTGGACAGAAGCTTTTGAGGGCATTTTACTTCTTTGAGACGGCTGAATAGATTTTGAATAGAGTCCACTATAGTGGAAGCGCAGGATTTTTGGACGGCGTTACTTATCACATGGCGAACAAGACCAGATTTGGCAGTTTTTGAATGGCAGCTGGTGTGAAGGAAAGGATTGGTTTTTCCGTCTCCTGCACGGTTGTGAGGTGATATCTTTTGTATGTGTTTGTTCGGACTGTGAACAACGGATTCGACAATCCAGCTTCACCATCTTTTTGAGCTTGATTTGCCTGATACAGATAGTGTTTATACCGCGTGTTTTGTCCTTGAGAGTGTGCCATTGTCGAGTCTTTTTTTTACCTTTACTCCGGCTTCCCTTTGTCCTTTTCTTTTTCAGGGAGGCCATATATAAAAGGATTCTATGGCAATAATATTTCAGCTTTGTTTGAGGCATCTTTTCTTCTTCCTGTCATGTTTTTTTCCTCCACCGCAGCCTCGGTTAATTATATAATTATCAAACGTACCTCTCAAGAGATAGCAGAGCTTGCGATCGTGTCAAAATTTCGGGGAAATAGGAATTGATAGTGTAAAAGGCGATATAAACCTTCTCCCTCGAGATTCATTTAAGTTTCCACAAACGGGTACTTATAATTTAAGAGTATTAAGGATGCAAGGCCCTACACCGGCTCATTAAAAAAAAACGAAGCCAAGAAAAACTTATCATTAAACCGTGCATGTAAAGACCTCGACTCTTATAGAAGTTTAAACTTGTCTTGATAATTCTGATCAATCCGAAGATCACAGGTGTATGTTGAGCGCGCAGTGGATCCGAAACCAGCCAAAGACTCTCGTTAGACACATTTTGAGTTCACCTGGTTTTCTCAGAATGATCAAGGCAAATTTAATTTTGTTTTTGACCCAACATATTACTCAGAAAACTAAAAGCCTAAACGTAATCTTTTTACCATTTTTTTGTAAAAAAACCCGTTTGTATTTCATACATTTTTACGAACCTGTAACTTTTTCGTAAATAATATATTTTTTTTGTATGGCTAAACCTATATGCCAATACCAATTGTTTTTACAAATGTACAGTTTTATATTTTTCTTGCGTACATATGTTCAGTTATATGAACCTCTGCGTTATAAATATTAAACGATTATAAATCGGCTCTAGGCCACTTAAAGAGCGGTGAAAAATTATTTATCGGTGCACATTCCTAGTACTTATCTTAAGTTTTACAATTTTCTTCAGAGCATGAATATTATTCCTATGAGACGGATGAATCATTAAGCGAAACAGATGAAGACCTCGAAGATTACGAGGATAACGAAAGCTCAGGTAAACAAACGAACGATGCGTCATGATCGGAACTAATGGGCTTTCGGGGATTTTTCACCCAGAAACCTTGAGGGAAACAGATATATCCTTAATTACTAACGAACAGTGCGAACGACAACTTGCCACAACTGTTCCAAAGTACATCCTATGCTCTAATGGGGGAATATGTTCTGTAAGTATGAAATATTGTATCATTTCCTGAGAATAAAGTTGATTTGGTCGGCAACTGCAGGAAAAAATCAATGTCTCCTCCTACCATGAGACACGCGCATGCATTTGAAACTTATTCGAGCTATGGCTTTTTCGGCTGAATGAAACTAAAAAACTTACCTGCATTTTTGGATGCACAAAATTTCAGAACCTGACTCAGCTCGGAAATGCCACACATTGGTTCATTTTCCCTCTGAAAGAAAGTTTGTTAATGGGAACTTCAGATTAAAAAAGAGGCATAGGAAGTTGAGCTAAAACTCTTTAAAACTGTATTGGACTGATCCCTTCTAAAACAAGCTGAAAACGCTATGGCTGCTTTCGTACTTTTATCTAGTAGATTTTCTTCAAATTGGCAAGTTAACTTTGTGACATTCCTGGTACCAGACTTCGCGAATGATTCGATTGTAAAGAAATATAAAGAATTGCACAGAGCTCATCTTGCGTTACAGCTGCTAACAAAACGGTTGCAGTCCTTATTGAAGACTAGTATTAAACCATAGAATAAAAACGTCCCATGAAAAAACAGGGGAAAAAAAACACGGGCTTTCGGCCAGGCACATGAACTTGCATCGTACAAAGTTGGAACTCAGTGAGAACACAACGCTAGTAGTGCGATAATGCATAATGTTAAAAGCAGGACGTTACTTCCATTAAATACTTGCAGGAAAGGAACAACAAATAGGGGCTGACGTCCACCTCAGCTTAATAATTATAAAAGCAAAAATTAACATCTTAAATGCCTGTAGCATTAGTTTTAGTACTAAACAGATAAACTTGTCAGCAAAAAACAACAACAAAGAAGCAGCAAACGTTGCTTTATTTGATAGGGAAAACAGCTCAGAAAACACAGACTAAGAAGAGGAACATTCACGAAAGGACAATGCTGTATGTTGTGTATGTTCCTCTTCGTAGTCTGTGTTTTCTGAGCTGGTTTCCCCATCATGTATAACGTCAACCAACTGGCCCAATTTACCGCCTTATTATTGTTTTACTTGTTGACAGTTCTCAAAATAAATTCAACACACGCCCACAGTGCAATTTTCTTGGATTCACAAATATTTGGCTTAGGTGGGCGTCGGCTCACAAACATATTTAATTTTTCTCTCGTTTCATTTGATGAAGGTAATGCGATCTCAAACTTTCGTGTTCTCTCATTATCACTAGCGTTGCATTGTCATGAAGTTTCAACTTTCGGCGATGCGTAGTTTATTTGCACAACCCTTAAAACCAGGTGCCACTTTTCTCAATTGAACCGGGTAGAATAGTGACACGAGTCACATATAGAAATAGGGTGAGCGCCCTTAGCTGTCGATTGTTTCCTACACATTTTGGCAAGAAGAAATCAAGCAGAAACTTACAACGTCATCGATGCGAACGGAAATGATAAATGTATGTAAGGCTGTACCTCTGAATTCGGCTTTCGACAAAGTCTCAGTAAAGCATTCACGATCCGTTGTAGCAACCACTAGAGCTGGCCAAAGCGTACATTTGTGAACGTCGAAACAAAAAAAACGAATTTGTTTTAAAACTCTTCAAATATAAAGCGTTATCAATGGAGACCCTTCTGAGTGCCTTTATGAGGGCGAACGAACATTTTCTGTACATCAGCAGATGGGGCAGAAGTAGATAGAGCATTGTACATGTTATTTGATTTCGATACAAATATACTTGTCTTAAAAATAGAACGAGAGTCGAACGAGTGTTGTCTTCCCCATTTAATTGCAAGGCTTGGCGGGCATCAGATAAGGCAGAAACCGTCACGGCAAGTTAGCTAATTCACTAAAATTTAATATTTCACTTTTAAATGTTTGTTTTGTGGATGTTACAATCGCAGTATCTGCCGCAGGTAAAAAAGGAGGCCACACAAATTTAAAAGAAGTTGCGAAAAAATGGTGGCTTGTTAGTTGTGGATCAACCTTCCCTTTCGCTTCCTTTTTCTTTAAGGGGGAGGGGAACGGAAGTGCAGTTTTGAATGTTCGCGAAAAAATAACGCCGCAAACGTCCACAATGACGCTTAGGAGAATGTACGTGTTCATTTCAGTCACGTCATTACTAGTTCTGCAGCACATCCACGATGACTGCGCCGTCGACACAGTGCCGTAAGAGTGACATGACTGAAAAGGCAGCGTCACTCTTCTAGGCGGCATTGCGAGCAGGGCTTCGGCGCTCTATAAAAGCTCTATTTTAAAATGTGGCAAGAAAAGAAACTGAAAAAAAAACGATCAATAGATTTCTCAAACACCAGTTTTTTTTTTATCCAATAAATTCGTAATGACACTAATAGGTATTCCAGTAAAGGTTGCAATCGTTACATGCTTTGTAAAACCGCTTCTTATAATTTCGACCAATACTGGATAATTCGCCACCTTATTGTGTCGTTTATTTCATCCTATGTCCACACAGCTTGACAAGTTAAAGCTCAAGACAACAGCCGTGTAACTCTCGCCTTTCTAGAAAACATTTGTTGAAGTAAAATTTAAACACCCTGTGGAAGAAAACAGGAATTCACCAGAGTTCAGTCAGAGAACCCACTGCACGCATTCTCAAGTGCTTTTCCCTGCTTGGAGAGGTTGTCGGATAGCACTCGCGAAAAAGAATTTTGTTGTCTTTTTGAACCACTGGTAAAAACAGCAATGACGGGCGCTTTGGAGTAGAATTTTGGTCCGTTTAGCCTCACCTAAAGTGTTCGGGAAATTGAAAGTCACATGGTGTCATGTCCGAAGTGTAATCTGGATAGAGGAGACCTCCCATCCTATCTGGGCTAATGCATCCAGAACAGTGGTCGCAACATAATGACCAGCGTTATCGTGCAACAAAACCATGCCAGAAGAGAGCGTGGAGCGTCTCTTATTCCCAATGGCTCTATGCAGCGTGCGAAACGGGCCCCTAAATGCAGCGTTTAGCACATGATTTTCAAGTAAGGCACTTTGAAATTTCCCAGAAAAAGCCCTTCATGATCAGGCTCACCTTAAACGGACACCACATTGCACCTACCATGTTGTCAATGGCGTCCACTATAAACCAGAAGTGCGGAGAAGTTGAATGATATCTCTCTTGTACTTCTGTCTGTACTCATCGCGATAAGTTCAACCTCATCGGTCTCCTAGTTCGCCGGTGTAAGTGACGCGACATAAACAGGTTTCGTTTATTCACGTCTTAGAAATAATTTATTATACTTCGTTTTCAATTCTATAAAATGGCAGAAAGTACGTTCGGACAGTTTTATAGTCTTATTGCCGTATACCCCAGAAATATGCTATCTCGGTATCATCAATCTTCTAAAAGAAGACACAATTGATGTACAATCTTTTTCGCATGCAGATTGCAAATTGGTCTCCCGAGCGAAAATGTTCACCTAGAGCGGCAACCGTTTTTACTTCAGTAACTGCTTTCTTTTTTTCTTTTTTTTCACAAGAACGTAGTGGCCAAAAACGTGTACATATATTGCACAAAAAAATAATGTTACGAGAAAGTGAAGGCAGTTATTATGGCGTGTGACACCAATTTGCTACCCTGAATCAGCTGGAGGAATTTGTTCCGATGATATCTCAGGTTTATTTATATAAGTTTTCCGAAAATAGTTCAATAATAAGTCGTTTTTTTTTTGGTTTTCAGGGAGACATCGGAGGACCTCTGATGTACAAAAAAGAAGGACAATGGTTTCTTGCTGCTATTCATTCTGTAGGCGGTGGTTGCTTCAACCCTTCTCTGCCATCACTACATGTTAGGGTGTCACACCTCGTTGAAAGGATCATTTTACCCGTCATGAAGGATTCGGAATCAACGAAACAAAACCTATGTATTATGGACGAGGCTCGAAAGGAATGTGTAACCACATTTTATAACTCTTACTACGTGCCAATAGATGATTCAGTAGAAGATGACGAAAGTACTTAATTATAACGTTAACATGTTATCATATACTCTTGTCATGTGTCTTCAATTCACTTCTAATAAAGAACCTTTCAATCAAGCGTTTGGGAACAAATTGACACCAGTGACAATGAACAAACTAAACGCCAAAGTTTACTCAAGGGTTTGTGTTGATATTGTTGGAATGTTCTTTATTTCCCTGTTATATATGATATATGTATATGTATGCCATACGCACATATAATGCACCATTGTCGTCTGCATCGGTGCAGACGACAATGGTGCGCTGCGCTGCGCCGGGGCAGTCGTCCTCGTAGACCGACTCCGTCAGCTTTCTCGACAGCAGGGAGACGATCGCATTGTCACGAACGATGGGCAGAATCCAATCGACGTACGTCGCTGGGCGGATCTCGTCTGGGAGTTCCTCCAGTTTCGTTTTCCGAAGGCGAGCGTGGCGCTTGCGCTTCCTGACTACAGGGGCAGGCGTCGCGGTCCTGTTGCACCGGTGACAAGTCCCTCTTGAAGGTCCTCGCTGAAGAACTTATGGTGCAGCGCCGGGGCTAGGAGAGTTTTGGTCGCGATTCGACGGACGAGGGTCTGAGTGCTCCTCGGTAGGGCATTCGGCATCGGAGGAACGGGACGCAACTGCTCGTATGGGCGTTCCTCCCGTTCCTCACGTAGGTGCTGCAGGGTTCTCCGCCTTCGCTGTTTAGCACTTTCCTTGACGGCAGAAAGGTCGGCCGGGCCGGCTGCCCCGCCGGCTGAGTTGTTGAATGCGTTCGGCGCGGATGCCATCTGTCGAACAGCTGCTCGAGCCTCGCTGTGGGCCCACTCGTTGCCGTTGACGCCCGCATGTGCAGGCAGCCAGGAAATAGCAGCTTGGATGTTGAGCTTGTTTCGAAGTTCTAGGAACGCGGCAAGCAACTCGCCGACTATTCCCGTGTACGTTGAGGGGATCCCGCACACTCGTCTGCAAGTTTCGTACGCGCGGTTCGAGTCCGTGAACAGTAGGAGCCTGTGTGGGATGTCTGTTGGTGCAAAAGTTTGAAGAACCCACTGTGATGCTCGGAGGAGTTCCACGAGTTCCGCTTGCGTAGTGTCGACGTCTTCAGTGGTCGAAACTGCAGCCGCGTTCGGAATGCCGTGGGTGGTGTCGACCCACGCGACCGCCTGAACGTGCTTGGGGGTTCTGTCCTCTCCGTCGCCGTCGTCACCGGTAGTCGACAGCAAGGTTTCCGCCATGTCAGTGTAGATGATGGTGTGCGTAGGTGGTGATTTGTGCGCGACGCTACGCGTGTGAGCTTTGGCAAAGCGCTTGAGTCGTACTGAGTTACTCGGTCCAGGTCCCATGTTTCGGGGGAGGGGTTTGCCGTCGGTAAGCGTGACCGGGGCGGCCCCCGGAGGATGCGAGTGCGCGTCTGCCGGGCGGACGCACAGACTGGAAGACACGCGGAGCTTTTCAAAAATGGAAAGCCCAGCTGTCGAGCTGCTGAGGCGGTCTCTCTAAGCGAGGAGCTCCGGTTCGGCGAGTTCCGAGAGGAGATTCATGCCGCAGTGTGCCTGTAGCTCCCGAGGGCGTGTGCTTAGGCGGTCTGATAACGATGGGGATGGCTTCGTGATTGAGTTTCTCGAGTTGCTCCGCCTGCCTCGGCGTGAGGACGCGATAGGTATAGCCTTAGAGGATACGGGATTCAAGCAGCGACGTGACAAGCTCGCGAGTTCTTTCTCCCTTGTGCCCCACTGGAGGTGTGTGATTGTACAGATGAGGCGGGAGGAAGGATCTGGACGTAAAGGCGACTTTCGTTACCCACGTGGTGCCTTTCCCATCTTGATCTATGTAGGCTCCCAGGATCCGAATGGAGGGTTTTTGCCGTATCCTTTGGCCGGCAATGCTGAGGGTGACTTTGATGAGGAGCGATTCGGTCTTTCTGTGGGAGCCGTTGAGAATCACGACGTATTCGGTCTTCTCGGCCGACGCGGTCATGCCCACATTCCGAAGAAAGGCCTGTATGTCGTCGAGGCCAAGCTGAATCGTGTGCTCCTGTTCGCCTCCCGATCTCAGCGTTACCCAGACGGTGACATCATCTCCGTATACGCGAAGCGCAGCGACGTAACCTCTTCAAGGAGTGGGGGAAGTCTTGGCATGGCCAGGTTGAAAAGGTTGGGCGAGAGGACCACGTCCTGCGGTACCCCGGTCCTGTCCTGTTGAGCGGGTCCTATGAAGTCATTGGCTGTGATCTGTACGTTCGGTCGTTCAGGAAACTCTTAACGATACTGAGAAGGCGGCCGCACACTCCCGCAAGCACTGAGCTCTGGATGACCGCCTCGTGAGTGGCGGTGTCAAAGGTCTTGGGAACGTCCACCGCCACCGCCGTTCTCGTCTGCAGGTTCGAGTAGGTGTCAAGGAGTGTGTGGCTTAACATAAGGAGAATGTCTTGCATGCTAATCATGGGGCGGAATCCGAGTTGATGTGGGTGGAGCGGGAGTTCTTTTCAAGGTGCCACAAGAGTCGCTCGAGGACCGTACGTTCTATGAGTTTACACAGGTTGCTGGTAAAAGAAATCGGTCGGAGGTTATTGAGCCCATTGGATGCCTTGACCGGTTTTGGGATCGGTATCACCAGGGATTCACGCCAGGAGCTCGGGAAGTTGCCCGTCGTTCAAATATCGTTGATCGCGTCAAGAAGAAGCTGATGGAGGTTGCACAGTTCCGAATTGATTATAAGGTCTCGGCCAGGTGGCGCTGCGGGCGTTCGCCTATGCTCAAGCTGCGTGAAGTTCGACCATTTGAAATGGTTGGTCCATGTCGACCTGCTCCGGTGCTTGGAGATCCAATGCCTGAAAATCTCGAATCACCTAGGTCGGCGTCGCGGAGCCGGGGTAGTATATGGTGGGATTCGGTGAAGCCGCAGGCTGTGGGAAGAAGACTGCTCCTCCAGCCTGAAGCGCTAGCTGCTCCTCCGAGATTCGCATGCGTCGAGCCGTGGTCTCCGCCGCGGTGCGTCTCTTGGCTTTGCCCATCCAGTTGCGAAATATGTGCCATATCAGCGGTCCGCTCATGTTACTGTTGTAGCTGGAGCAAAGGTCCCACTATCTGTCTGTAGAGACTATTCGCGAAATCGCGCGCCTCAGCCGTTATAAGGTTCCGACGACATCGTACTCGGGGCGTTCGTCCTCTCTTTCTGTGCGCACGTAACGCGTCGAGGCGTTGTTGCCATAGGTGAGCCAGGTGCAAGTCTGGCGACGGCTAGTCCTCCGCTCCTTGGGATTTCTGGGTACATGACGGTTTGGCTTCGTGTATTGTCCGTAGGAGATGGGCCACTTGGTGCGTTTCCGGATCACCGCCCGATGTGGGGACGGATGATTGCTCCAGCTCAGCGCGGAAGGCGTCACAGCAGACGACGCTCGTAGTTCGTTCGGCTCCTGTCTTTGTTTTAGCCTGCACTAGATCCTCATCGAGGAGGTATTGTAACATAAAGGCGACTGCAAAATAGCTTTAGATACGCTGCTTGTCGTGGCATGATATAGCAACAGACAAAAGACAGCACTGGCGCTTGGTACATACGTTAGTGGTGCCCTTTATGCACTCGCGTAGTGTTTACACTAGCCCTATCCAAACAAAGGCGAACGTCCCAACAAGTGTCACCCGGCATTTCCTACTTTTTTAGAGCATCATCATTCAAGAACGGAGTCCATAGTGGGCTTATGTCTCAGCATGGGCCGTCGCTAGTCTGCTAAATTTGCGAGTTGCAGTTTTAAGACAGTGGCGTGCAGTGCCGACCAGCTAAATCTGGCGTGCTTACTCTCATATTGAAGACGATTGTAGATATGTAAAAGCTGCCAAAATGTACTGGTCATTGTGCTCTTTCACATCATACTTCACATCACATCATATAAATGCGCCTGCTATGTCGAGGTTTATTGAATGAGTAATATATATTGGAACAACAAATGGTATATTATACGACCTTACTCATTTCAGACGGCACTAAACGTTACTTCCTTTCAATAAAGTCGTGTCAGTTCTGAAACAGTCCTTGTGGTCTCCTTTCCATGACACTGTGACAGTCACGAACCTTCTCCGCATCTCGTTTCCAGAGGAGAAACCGAAAATTTAGTACGATGTATTTACGGTACGAAATTGATAAAAAGTGATTTTAAACCATTGAATAATGGTTTAAATAATAACAGCTTCGGCGCTTTCCCTAAGGACCGCGTGGTAGTAGGTGTGTACCCTTACGGAGTAAAATATTGTATCACGCATTTGATATTCGCTCGAATTAACTCTAATATATAACTTGAGACCTGCTATGCACAGGCCATAGATCTGTGGAACCAGCTCTCAGGTTCAGTTGGCGCTCTGCACTCGATTTCTGATTTTGAGACTTTCCTGTGTTCCACTTCTTCCGTGTCCCGTCTTCGTTGTGCTACTCTTTTATCATGTATATTAAGGGCATACTAGCCCGTCGATCCACTATTTTGTGCATTTCGCTTGTGAAATAAGGTGGCCAGAACATGATTTCTATTTTACGCCAGTGATAGCTAGGATTAGTGGTTGAGTTTTCCATATTAATGTACACTTGATATAGCATTCAGTTTCTATCTTTTTTAAGCTGTCTCGCTTGACCATTTTCTTGCTTTTGCCTTAACAGGACTGGCAGTATTGTAACATAAAATTTATTCAAAATGACGATGTAAATTTGTTTCTTTTATAACATATCATTGCTTTACCTGTTAATCGCTCGCTCCTTACATTCCATCTATACATAAGTATTGTCTTAACTCTGTGTCCTTTATTTATTGGCATATACACTGAGAGACATTGTTAGAGCGAAGAAGAGTTCGGCGCATCTTCGCGTTGAGATCAGATATTTTGTTGGCGAAACAAAAGGTACGATTTAAGTTTTAACTCAAAGGAAAGATTCCGCACTCTAGCATTTTTGAATACAAGTCACTGGATGCAAAAGAAAAACGTAGAAAACCAGCATCATAAGGGGAATGTGGAATGCCATTCATATCTTAAATTGGACCAGGCGTGAAACCTTTAGAAATCAAATGAAACATTTTATGCGAATCCGACGCTCTTTTAAACTTAGGTCTTA